CATCTCTGTCCTTCTCTCATCATTTACTCTCCTTGTCTATATTTATGCATTCAAATGGCTCTGTCATATGACATATGTTATATCTTTTATTTTGTTATTATTTTCTAATTTAACCTATTGATTAAAAATCTTAATAAAATTTATGTTTTATATATTTTGTTAATTTTTTATTTAATATCTATTTCATATATATATATATTTTATTATATATTTATATTTTTATGTGTCATAGAATATATTAAATGTAAATTTCTTTTCTATGCATATATCTACATATATTTAAATATATAAATTAGTTTTTCTATTTGATGCTTATGGGCTTTATATAATTATATATATAATATTAATATTAATTTATATTTTATTTATATAGAATATATTTTTGTTTTTTTTTTAATTTATATATAATATACGATATATATATTTTTTCTTTTTTTTTCAGTTTCTGGAATATAACATCTTAAAAATATAATTAAGTGAAAATAAATAATAATGAATAATAAAAAAGTAAATAAATAAAACAGTATATTATTTTTAATAATTAGAATTAAATGAAAAAAATGGAAAAATGTTAAATATCAATTAATAATCATTTTTTTTTGGATTCATTTTTTTCAATAGTTTTTTTAATTCTAAAGATACTCACTTTTGCATACTTACGTCTTATAATAATTATCTTCTAATCTTTTTTCAATAATTCTCTCAGTCCTTAGGATTCAGCGTCTAATATAATTTTGTATCTGGAATATCTCGTTTATTTTTCATAATATTAAAAAATTGCTTCAAGTAATTGAATAATTTCAACGAATCTACATTTTAATGCTATTATCTTTTTTCTAGGAGGACACGAGAAAAAAAGAACTTGTGAAACTTCTATTTCTTTAAATGTTTTTTAAAGCATAAATCGATATTATCTCTATCATTTTTCTATTAAAAAAAAAAAAAAAATATCAGACATTTCAAAGATAATTAAATATCTCCTAAACTAATTATTTTATCTATGAATTAAATTAGCAGATTTTTTTATATAAAATTTAACGTAATGCATCAAATTCTTCGTTAAATCATTTCTTAATTAAAAAAAAAAAAGTATGGATTAAAAAAGATCGTATTATAGGAGAATATATTCCGGATAAAAGATGGTATACGAAATTTTTTCGTTAATCAATCGAATATTTATATAGTTAATTCTGTAAATGGACAGTTTCGACATTTGTATAAGAGAGACATTTTTTTCTTCATAATGAAATAACTTTATAATTTGCAATCTCCTAATCTTCTTCTCGACGAAGGTTGCGGTTCTGCATATTGCTGTTGATTTTTCATGTTGCTTAGACCCATTTTACTAAATGTATCCATATATTCCGAACGACCGGTGAAAGGTGTGTCCCATACGGAGAATAATTCCGGTACTAATAAATACATTTTCACCTTATTTTTCACGTGGATGAGGATACATAAAAGAAAACGAAAGTATGTTCGAAAGTATATCTGATACCTTGGCAAAAAGTGATCGTTTTGGCTGGCTGGATATGTGGTCTCTCGATGGCTGTATATCGAAATCTCGTTGGATCTCTGTAACCCTCTTTTATCTCGGTAATTTCCTCCGGAAACGGTGAACAGTAAGCCGAATCGACCGCGGCTTTCAGCTGTCTGTACTCTTTAATGGGCAATCCTGAAATTCAATTCATTTCATCGAATTGAATTATCTGAACTGAACTCGTATCCCTTCATACGATCATCCTTACCCCTTTTCGCGTAATCTGTTTTATAAACACTCTTCATCGTCTCATCTATCGAATTGCAGGTATGCTCTAGCATAGCTGACGTCAGATTAACCATTTCACGATTCACTTTTTGCAATTGATCCAAGAAGAGTCGTTCCTTGTCGGCAAGATATTTGTATCTGATAATGATGATAATGATGATGATCAATTTTTTTTTTTTTTTTTAAGATTAACTTTTCTTCGTGTACAACAGAGTATCGAGATGTGTATATCGATTTTTTTTCTTTTCTTTCTATATAAATTATGAGATTGTTCAACGTCCTTTGAACATCGTACTGTATCTCTACCTGCTTTTGTCGATTTTCTGCCCATGTTCGTCGCAAGCACAGTCTTCAGGGTCGATTCTAGGCATATATAATCGAATTCCCGTGTTCATCGGCGGTTGGGCCGGTTTTACAACAAGGGGTACCGGATACGGCCAATTAAAATCCTGATGGGTGGTGGTGATGAAATTTTCCAATGCGCTAGTCATCGTGTAACCGGTAATTTTGCCACGAGTAGGAGAAAATAACCAGAATTTACATAGGCCTCTGTCGGGAGAAAATTTGTTCGAATGTGTAAAATATGCGTTACATTTTACATTTTTTAAAAAGAAATTAAGAAGAAACTAAGGAAAAAAGAGATAACAAAATTTTCTCTCTTCTCTCTTCTCGAAATTAATATTCTTTCTTATTTAAAATAAAAAACAAAAAAAAAAAAAAAAAATATTGGCAATAAGAGTTAAC